TTCGTTTCTTCTTACTACTACTACGTAGTAGAACGAACAACAAGAATACACAGTAGTATACTATATATATATATATATATATATATATATATATATATATATATATATATTGCAAAATGAAGAAACTGTAGGGAACCTCGAATGGAAGAAGAGATGCACACTGATGTTCACCACCATCCTGCGTATGGTTATCGATTCGATGTTTTTCTGAGTTTCAGGGGTACGGACACTCGAGAGAAGTTCACCTCCCATCTCCACAGAAGCCTGGTTAAGGAAGGTATCTGTGTTTTCTTGGATGATGAGAAGCTAGAGAAAGGAGAGAGAATTGGACCAAGCCTCGACAAGGCAATCGAGGGTTCGCAAATGTTCATTCCTGTGTTTTCTGCTGATTATGCGTCCTCTAGGTGGTGCCTGAGGGAACTAGTGCAAATTTTCCAAACAAAGCGCGTGATTCTGCCTGTGTTCTACCGAGTCGATCGCGAAGATGTTCGAGAGCAAAAGGGAACATTTGCGATTTCATTTTTGAAGCATGAGAAGCGATACAGCAGAGATATTCTGGCGGCATGGAGGAAGGCTCTAAGAGATGTTGGAGAGATGCCTGGTTGGGAGACTGAGAATGTGGGAGATCTGTAAGTTGAAGCTCATCTCTCTCTCTCTCTCTCTTGTTTTTTTTTTATTCTTATTATTATTATTATTATTATTATTTTATTTTATTTTATTTTTTTTCTTTTTTCTTTTTTCTTTTTTGTACATAAACTGTTAGAAACTTTATGAAATGGTAATCTATCAAGTATTAGATAGTTTAAAAAATATCATCACCACCTACCTTATTCGCATCATGAACAACATAATTTGCATTCAGGAATTTACAACAATAACACGGTTTTTGTATTTCCATCTTATATTATTGAATTTGCATGATGTATGCCTGTGGCAACGTTAATTATTCATGGATGTCTGTTACCCTGGAAAATTCTTAAAAATTAAACAATTTTACGGATTGTTAGTCTGAATCTATTTGCAAGCTGAACTAAATGTAGACAAATAAGTGTTATTTCATTTGGATCAAAACTTAGATCAGGATATAAAAAAACGCAAGGAGGAATTTTTGCATTCCTGTGACTTTCAAAATGTCATGAAATCGACAAGTGCATCTCAACTAACCAATGTTTCAAGACCCATAGTCCACCTTACAGATCTGTGTTGAATTGTGGGTATGGATCGGTACAAATCGGTAACCCTAAATATATTTAAAATAATTAAAAATTAACATAGGGGTTTGGAGGAGACCTAAGAAGACGTTAGGAAAACCTAAAAAAATAAAAAAATTTAAGAGTGGCCTTGATTGAAAAATTGTTGATCCAGATCCGTGAATCTACTCCCTGCTCCGATGTAATAATCAATCTATAAAAATTAAAACTTTGGAAAGAAAAACAAAAAACAGTAAAAAATAACAAATATAATGTGTAGCAACGGAGCATTCTAATCCGGATCAAGTGGGAACTAGGCAAGTTTATAGGATCCCGGCCAATTCTTGGTTCAACAAGGAATGAGGTCGCCCTAGACCAATTCTTGATCCGGCCCAACTGTTTTTTAATACATGTAGTGCAATTAACACTTTTTAAGTAGGAAAAAGTTTATATAAGGTTACAACCTTTAAATGTAGAATCACATATGCACCTCAAAAATATTTGTCTTTTGTTGGTGATGTCGGTGAGCATATTCTTGGTCTTGGGCATCCTTCAGCATAGTATAAGGGTCTTTGGCTGCATTCGTCTGGATCATCCTCTTCTTCTTCGAGATTAGTTTCTTCCAGTGGGAAGTATTTATTAGTACGGTCAGGTGATGATTGTACGTTCTCTTCTGATGAGACGGGCTTTCTTCCTGCTTCTGCAAAAATCTCCCTCATTTGTTGTTCAAGGGTTTCTTTGGTAGCATTAGGGTTTATTTGCAACATGTTTCGCACGTATGTGGGAAAATCAAAGGAGGTATTGGCAGTATTATATCCTGTTGGATTGGGATTGTATATAGGTTTTTGTGGAGGAATTCTTTTGGGAACTATGGTTGTGGGGTCCATGTTGAAAATGTCCCACCATTTAATGAAAATGGTTTTGCCAAGTCTAGGAATATAAGTATGGTCAGCTGTATTGTTCACAGAGATCGAATATTCCCATTTCATGATCCATGGGAGTTGGTATAGTGCAACAAAGTAAAGGTGAGGGTCTGTATTAATATCAATATTGTTAAATATAGCAAATTGCTCCTGAGCTTTTTGAAACGTAGGAGGCAAAATCTCAGTAGTTGATCCCCATATTAAAAACCAATTTTTAAACCAACTTGGGAATCTTTCGAAAATTGGTAACCTAAACTGGATATACCAGCTATGCGAATGATTTGGATTTTGATAAGAAAATACTTTATGCCATGCTTCTATGTATTCGGTATATTTATAATATTTATATGAAAAATTAGTATTGTTTAACTTTTTTCCATGAGTGGGATTGCAACCCCACTCCTCATAAGAAAGCAACTTCTTAATTTGCATTTTAGAGTATGCAATCACTCTTGTATTTTGTTGGTAATAATGGACAACAGAGATGGACCTTGTTTCCATAAGAATGGCTTCATAGTATTCACGGGTTTTTACTCCATTGGTAGGATTCAAATGGTTGATGAGGTATAAGGGAGCAAGTTTAACTGGATCCATATTTATATGGTGATCCTCTATAGTAATGTCTATGAGAAATGCTCTTTCGATAATGAAGATCGAGGAATATTAAGCCTTTGGGTCGGTCGTGATTGTGCACGAGTAAAGGCTGGAATGGATGTATTAGCTTCTGGATAAGTTATTTGGGGAATGGGTGAAATGGAAGGTGAAAGGGTAGCCGAAGGCGGATTTTCACCTTCAAAAGGTATTATTTCCAGTGGGCGTTTCTCATTGCGGGAAGAGTTGCTACGAGTGCCCATAAGAGTAGGTGGATTGGTCAAAGTATTATGTTTAGTAGCTGCAAAGAGCTGTAGTGCAAGTGAAAGTGGTGTTTCTTCGTCGTTGGCGTCAGTGTGGCCCCCCCTGCAAAAATTCACGGGTTAAAAAATCAGGAAGGGAATTGGCAGAACCGTGAAGGTGTTCAATAGTGAAATCAAAGGCAGAAAGAATGGCCTGCCAGCGAGCAAATATTTGTTTCGAAACAAGATTTTGAACATCTTTTTGCAGAATATCTTTAGCAGCTTTGCAATCAGTGCGTAGAAGAAAATATTGATTCAGAATATCACTTTGAAATTTTGTGACACAGTGGACAATAGCAAGTAATTCCTTTTTTACCGTGGAGTAATTCTGTTAGGTTGGATTCCAGGCTTTAGAAGTATACCTGAGTAGTTGTTCCTGACTATCCACTTGTTGTTTTAGGATTCCTCTTAAACCCAACTCTGTAGCATTACATTCAATGATTTTGAAAGCAGTAGGATGAGGAAGAGAGAGGCAAGGGAGAGTTTTGACTTTCTTTTTAATTATTCGTACTGCATTTGTATGAATGTCTGACCATGGTGGGGGATTCTTTTTTAATCTATTATGTAGAGGTCTTGCATCAATGGCAAGGTCTTGGTAGAAATCAATAACATAGTTAAGACATCCTAAGAACCTTTGGAGTTCTTTTTTATCTAAAATTTGATCAAGAAATTTATCAGCAAATTGTATTGATCTATCTATAAGAATTATTGTACCTTGATGGATATTATGGCCTAAAAATCTACTAGTTGTTTTGAATAAAGTAATTTTTCTAGCAGATACAACTAATCCAGCATGCTGTACTGCATGAATAAAAGTACGAATATGTTTTATATGTTCATCTATGGATTCTGAAAAGATTAAAACATCATGAATATAAACAATCATAAATTGATGGTAAGCATTAAATACATCATTCATTATTTTCTGGAATTCAGATGGAGCATTTTTGAGTCCAAATGGCATGACATTTCATTCCTATTGTCCAAATGGTACATTAAATGTTGTTTTATATTTAGCTTCTTCTTTTATTTGAATTTACCAGTATCCTGACTTCATATCAAATTTGGAGAAGATACAAGCATTTGCTACCCGATCTAATAAATCTTTTTATTAGGAATTAGATATCTTATCCATTGTAGTACTTTATTTAGTGGCTTATAGTTAATAACCAATCTTGGAACTCCTCGTTCCTTTTCAGCATTTTTATTGACATAGAAAGCTGCACAACTCCATGGTGATGAGCTTGGTCTGATCAGCTTTTTAGTTTGGAGGTCAACAATTTCTTTTCTACACATTTCTAGTAGAGTAGTATTCATTTGAATTGGTCTTGCTTTTGTAGGAATATGTCTTTCATCAAATCAAGGTTCATATGCGAGACTGATACTATGTTTCTTTCTTTCCCAGAAAGCATTGGGATGTTTAGTATAGATAGAGCTTTCTATCTGTTGTTGGAGTTGTTCGATTTTTTGTAGTATCAAGGGATTTTGTAATTGTTCTTCCACATGTTTATATTTAATTTCTTGTTTTAAAGTACAAAGAAATTTTTCTTCATTTTGTAATTGGCTTTTAACACTATTTATTTCTTTGAGTTTTGGTTTGCGAATGAATTCAAACTTTATAGGTACATTTTGATACATAGATGTTATTCTTGTATGGTCTATGGATAAGGGATATAATAATGTTAGGAACGGGACTCCAAGGATAACTGCTTGACTGAGTCCTTTGATCATGATAAATGGTGTTTGGATACATTGATGATTATTGCATACAGAAGAATTAGATAATTTATAGTTGATAAAGAGTCTACTGCCATCTGCAGTATTTAAGATTTGTGTTGTTTTATCAAAATATTTTGTAGGTACTAATCATTCATTGATACAGTTTAAATCAACACCTGAGTCTATAAAGGCTGATGTTTGAAACCTATAGTCTTCTGCGACTATGATGGTTACTTGAACAAACCATTTTTGTATTATAATTTTGTCTAAAAGGTTAATAGAAGAAGTATGTTCTGTGATCTGTAGTGGTTTCGTTTCTGAAGTTTCTGGATTATCTTCTGGTGGATCAGGACTATAAGTTGTGACTAAATGATTAAATTCAACTTCATCTGTGTCTGAATTTTGATTGGATATCTGTTGTAATTCTAGAATTTTAATTCTACTTCTTTCTTAACTTCATTTATCTCTTGTTTTAGATCTAAGATAGAAGGTTCTTTTTGTTTGGTGAGATGCTGTTCACTAACTCTCTTAATAATAGAGGCAAAATTATATTCATCTGGTGTTTTACTAATAGGAGGTGTTTTTGCTTTTGTTTTAGCTAAGTCTATAAATTTAGTGATTACAGATCTTTTTTCATCTGGATCTGTAATTTTTTCTATGAGATCTAAAATCAAATTATCTTCTTGTGTTAGAGTGTGAAGATTATGTGAGGGGATAGGACAAGTACAAGTAGATTCTTCCATTGGACGAGGTGATTCTGAATCGGTAGAAGAATCTGAAGATTCTGATGACTCTGTCCATATGAAATCATCATCATTGATATTTCCTATGAGTGAGTTCGTAGAATCTGTAGTGGAAGAAGATGTATTATAATTGATGATATTATATAATTTTGATTTTAATG